GGCCCCTCGACAGGGTTCGTTTTCACCCCACGGGAGGGATGTGGGTGTATGAACAAAAGTGGGATTTAATGAAACCCTTGGAGAGAAAGCCCTTGGCTAGACACAAGCAGCCCCAGGAAACATCTTTGGGAGCTGTGGGAGGGGAAGGGGCGTCCGTGCGGGTTTCGCAGCAGGGAGGGGAGGTGGGGTAAGCGGTTGCCCCAGGCTGCGGTGCTCCGGAGGAAGCCCCGCTGTGTGCGCTCCCCGGGCACCCACCTCTGCCCCCACTTTCCCCGCTGCTGGGAGATGGAGGGAGCCAGGAAGGCAGGTGGTGCTGGGGCTCGGGCAGAAGGTAAGGGAGATGCCCGGCCCTAATTTAAAGGCTGTATTCCCCACCGTGCCCCCCTTTGCTACAGTCTCCCTGAGAGGGAAACAGCACGATAGAATAACCCCATCCCCACGCTTGCAGGCACGACAGCATCGCAGGCGGTTGCTAACTCAGCTTTTATTGTCACAGGACGCAGCAGCAGACGATGCGATAGGTCGCTACGGGGGGGTCACAGCGTGTCACACCACAGTCACCTCAAACGGGAACGCAGCGCCCTGCATCAGGCGCGAGGGAGGGAGAGAAACGACGCCGCAGGGAGAAGATGCCGCTAGCTGCAAGCCCTGCTCCTTTCCGTGCCTTTGCTGCCCCGTCTCTGTGCAAAAAGACAAATTCTCAGGCCACGGTGATTTTCCCTTTGGGGACAGGGCAATTAATAAGCAGTCAAGGGGGTCCCTGCAAAGAGCATCATTTGCACCTCCTGGTATCGGCTCCGTTGCATCCATGCTTCAGATTGGCACCCAGCAGTTTTGCTCGTGCTACACCCGGCTGGGCCGCAGGGCAAAGGAGAAGCTGCCCCAGGAATACTGTTCCTCTAGGATGGAGAAGCGTGATCTTAGCCTAAGGTTTTGATGTGCATCAGAAATGCAGTCTGTTTGATTTGCCTCCCCTTGGAGATGGGCTGCCCCGAGCGAGATGGAGACACAAAACAAGCGGCAGACTCGGCGAAGGCAGAAACCCCAGCACAGCACCGAGCGCGCGGTGCCTTCAGCCTGAGATGGAGCAGCAACATCTGCCGCCTTCGCTGCCCTTTGCCCGGGATTTTATTTACAGTGTTATTAAAGGAGAGTGCCCCAAGAAGCCCAAAATGTTAAAAAATGCTTTTTTAGAAAAGCCAGGGTTTAACAGGCTTTTTTCCCCCACTGTAAACAGATCCCTGTTTTGCTTTTAAACATGCCCTCGGTGCCAGCCCGGGAGCAGCCAGGGAGGGAGAGGGGCTCCAGCAGAGCGGGGGCCCTGCAGCTCCTCCGCAGGCGGGGGGACGCGGGGGTCCCAGGGGAAAACCGGGATGGGAACGCAGCCCCGGGCTCCGACAGACGGACGCTGGTGGCTGCAGATGGGCAAACCGGCTGGCCTGGCTCTTCGGGGAGGGCCACAGCAAAGGCAGAGGGGGACACAGCCCTCCGTCGCCCACCGACCCACGCGGCGGGTGGGTCTGGGGGCACTGAGAGGCGGACGTGGGCAGCGACCA